GTTCAAAGTGACTGGCTTACAAGTTTTCAAGAGGGAGTTTAGTTTAAGAGTGTGCATGAAAAGGTAGGGTCCCCACTGAATAGTTTTCATCTTGTCAAGATGGGTCTGGTGAAAAGTGATGGGGTCTGGTTAAAATTGATTCTTATGATTCAATATTGTCAGGAGCGACCAGTCTCTGGAGAAGGATATCATGTTTGGTAAGATGGAGGGTCAGAGAAAAAGAGGAAGCCCCTCAACAAGATGGATTGGCCAGGTGGCAGCATTGATGGACTCAAGCTTGGCAACAATAGTGAGGTTGGCCCAGGATCGGGCAGTGTTTGGTTTGCTGTGCTCTTTGCATAGGGTGGCTATGAGTTGGTACCAACTCGATGGCACCTAACAACAACAACATGTTTCTAACCTGTCATTATGCCCTCTATTATCTTTATTTTGAGTGCTAAAAATGTAATATATTCTATTTACATGTGCTTTGTTTCCTCATGCAGTCTTTGGCTGTAATTTACCTGTTTTTAATTATTACATTTGAATTGTTGAATTCAAGTTGATTCTTCTTAGTAAATTTCTGTTGTTTGGTTGATATATCAAACCCTATATTTTCTCAAACATCCTTATCATATGACTTTAAAGTTCTTGTAAATTAACTCTAGTATTGAACCATTTTAATAATGTTATTGCTGTCTGTTTATTAGGGTTTCATTTTTTGCAATCCTGTCTTTTGACATAGCTAACATCTTATTGTTATTATAAGCCTAGCATTGAGTATAAAATGCAGACTACAGATAATATTTATTTTTCTCTAAGGAGCGTTTACTATTTGCTACTTGACTAATATGTTTGCAGGCCTACTCAATGAAATTCAACAGAATCACTTTTTGCTCACCCAGCCACCTCTTTTTCCATTGGTACCTCAACCTTTTTCATAGAAGATGGCTGAAGTCTGTTCTGTTTTTAGAATCATTAAAACAAAGCCAGTCCACTGCCATTGAGTGAATTCTGTCTCATACTGACCCTATAACACCTAATAGGACTGTCCCAGATGTTGTCCAAGCCTATAATCTTTATGGAATTTACTCAAACATATCAGTAATTATGAGGATGGTCCAGGAACAGGCTTCATTCTGTCCTTTTGTATGGAGAGTTGCTATGAGTGGAAACTGACTCTTTGGAACCTAACAGCATCAACCATCTATATGGAAGCAGACTGCCACATCATTCTCCTGTGGATTGGCTGACAGGTTCCAACTACTGACCTTTTCATTTGCCAATCAAGTGCTTAGTCACTGTGCCACCACTGCTTCTTCATTGGGTTGTTGCTTCTAGATATTTAGTCTCACAACTCAAATGGTAAGTGAATTGACAAATGTTCTTAGGGAAAAAGAACTCATATTCTTGCTTTACCAAGAAAATGTCTGAGACTCAACTGCTTTTCTGCACTCATGTCCACCAGGGGCTACTGTAATTAAAACTATGGGCTCACAGCATCCTACCAATGTCCAGATTCTTTAAATACTTAGATTAAATTACCTACAGAATTCACATGTATAAATTTTCCCTCTATCTAGCATCTTAGGTTTCTAGTTGTCATTGTTCAGCATTTCTGAATGACATTCTAACACATAATCTTTTTTCCTTTTTGTTTTTCTAGTTATTCCATGTTACTTGGAAGCAGAACTTCCTACTACAGAATGGTCAATAAATTTAACTTCAATACAATGATGGCTGATATATTTTGTGAACAATTATGGGCTCATTCTAAAAAAACTAATTTGAAGATACAAGCATTGAATATAACAAA